CTGCTTCCTCATAGTGAATTAGCATTCCTAGCAGACTTTCTGCCCAGGAGCTACCTAGATCACTTTTGTAAACTTTTCTTTATTCATTAATGTGAGATCAGCTCACACTTACCATACTGATGAAAAATAATAACCTTTGAGGTTCCAGTTAACTTCTCCCCTTCTGCTTAAATTGACAGGGAAGTAGTTTGAAAGACTACTGAAAGAGTATCAATCATTTTGTGCATCTCTTGTCATGCAAAGCATGGACTATATTCATTGTAGATAGCAGCACATGAGAAGCTAGAGGGAGATTATTGGGATGATGCTAACGCCAAGTGTTCCTGAGATATTTCTTCACAGAAATTACCCATACTTTTTAGGGCTTACAAATGGTGTAATGCAAATACACCATATCATTGATATATATACACATGCACACATAAAAAAACCAGCATTATTCATGCAAGCCGAGAATTCATAAACCTAGTATAGTTCTTGTTGCAGGTCAGGGAATTAAAGCATGCAAACCAATTAATAGAATGATAGAATCATAGAATGGTTTGGGTTGGAAGGGACCTTCAAAGATCATTTAGTCCAACCCTCCTGCCATGGGCAGGGACATCTTTCACTAGATCAAGTTGCTCAAAGCCCCATCCAACCTGATCTTGAACACTTCCAATGATGGGGCATCCACAACATCTCTGGGCAACCTGTTCCAGTGTATCAATACACTTATCGTAAAGAATTTCTTCCTTATGTCCAATCTAAACCCACCTTCTTTCAGTTTAAAACTTTTGCCCCTTGTCCTGTCACTACAGGCCTTAGTGAAAAGTCTCCCTCCGTCTTTCTTATAAGCCCCCTTTAAGTAGAACAGAATAGAATAGTTCAGTTGGAAGGGACCTACAACAATCACTTAGTCCAACTGCCTGACTGCTTCAGGGCTGATCAAAGGTTAAAGCATATTATTAAGGGCATTGTCCAAATGCCTCTTAAAACACTCACGGGCATGGGACATCGACCACCTCTCTAGGAAGCCTGTTCCAGGGTTTGACCACCCTGTTGGTAAAGAAATGTTTCCTAATGTCAAGTCCGAACCTCCCTGATGCAGCTTTGAACCATTCCCAGGCATACTGTCCCTGTATCCCAGGGAGAAGAGATCAGCACCTCCCTTTCTACGTCCCCTCCTCGGGAAGCTGTAGAGAGCAATGAGGTCGCCCCTCAGCCTCCTTTTCTCCAAACTAGACAAACCCAGAGTTCTTAGCCACTCCTCATAGGACATGCCTTCCAGCCCTGTCACCAGCTTTGTTGCCTTCCTCTGGACACATTTGAGTACCTTCACATCCTTCTTAAATGGTGGGGCCTAGATCTGCACACAGTACTCAAGGTGAGGCTGCACCAACGCTAAATACAGCAGGATAATCACCTCTTTTGGCTGGCTGGTTATACTGTGTTTGATGCACCCCAGGATTGCGGTTGACCTCTTCGCCGGGCGGG